TCTAACTGACCTAGCTAGGATTTACTTCGGGGCCACTGCAAATATTTTAGGGAGAAATCTACGGACCCTTTCACGAAGGTGCAACAGTTTTCCGTAGTGGACCCTGAGTCTGTCCCAAAGTGTCTGAAGTGGACTCAAAGTTCCTACAGTGAGCCCAAAGTCAGCGCTAGCCTCGGAAGCTAGCAGATTTAGACTGAGTTCTAGGAGTAAAATACTCCTTTTAGGTTACCGCTAGTGTTTGGCACTTTAATAAGTTATTTTGCATGGTTAAATAATTATAATAAATAATTGTCTCTTAAATTTTTAAACGCACGAATACGATGGCTTACAACTATGCTGTCAGTATGCGAAACCTCTTGGCACATGCCTCTTTTTATCCCAGGGGATGCGAACGCTAGTGTGATCTTGAGCAGATCAACCATAAAAGTAGGGAATTTTTGCACAAGATCTGACATTTATTTACAGAACTGCGTGAAAACACATTAGACAGTATCTTTGACGTTCTAGTTGTTAAGAGGAGTATCAGTTTTCAAGTTCGACCAGTTTCTGCATATATATTCACCAAGGTGACTTGAGGGGAGCTGTTTTTGTGATCCGTTTATCGCTCTTATCCTGTTTTGCAGTCTTCCTAAAAAGCCCTCGTTTGAATTACTATGGTTTCCAGTAAGAGGATCGACTACTACTTCCTAGGAGAATGTGGACAATAAAACAAATAAACTAAATGATGCCAACTCCAGACATCCCTAATCGTAACCTTAACCTTAATCCCAACCCTAATTATAACCCTCGTCGTAACCGCAACCCTAATCCTAACCGTCGAGAGCTATTAACACATTATCGAAACAGTACTTAAAAACGTGGTCTGGGTGAAATTTACTTTTTAGTTGGTGGAGTATTCATATTTGCGCTATAACAATGACAGGTGTCGTTAGCCAACGAATAACATACCTTCAAGGTCATTGGAGCGTGCGCAGCCTTGGGGCCCCATAGTTTAACTTCACCCTAATTTCTTATTGGACGCGTCCGCCGAGTTCTAACACCGCTATATGTCGTAATGCAATCCGGTCGTTGACAAATCTAAGCGAGAGTCTGATATCTACTCGTAGTCCCATAGTAAATGGCAACACCAGTCCACCCCCAGAAAATGGAGCTTATCTCTAGTGACCTAGTGCCTAATTACATGCATGACTGTAATACTGTAACCTGACTGATAGGATTTAACACTGGTTGGTAACTCTACAGTGGCCACTAGATGTATTTTAAAAAATATTCTAGACATACTTAGTGGATATTTAGACAGATGGTACTAGTTTTTTCTATTATAGCTTGATTCCACACCGTATTTTTGGTAAAAGTATGGAGTTTTCAGCATGTGATATCCGTAGCCCAAATTTTGCCGACCAATTGATATCAAGTGTGCGTCGGTAGGGCATCGAACCCCGGACCATGTGCATGGTCGGCGAGAGTCCTAACCGCTGTGCCACGGATGCACATTGTCATTGATTCAGGAGGCGGCTGTCTATGAACTCTTACATAGCTGCAGGAATTCGAGTAGTGTTTTACTTAATACAGTGTACCCCAATATTTCATTTAAAGCCAGGGGTCTCCACAGCAACTCTTGGTAGACGGAGTCATATGCAGCTGTGATAATAGACAGCCTTGTCTTACTCCTGTATGTACTTTGAACGCCTCGCTGAGCTTTCCGTTGTGGATCACCTGACACGTGCCACTGTCATATAGCTGTTGAATGAAGTGGATAAAGACTTGGACACTGCACACCGTAGTGTCGAAGTAGTTTCCAAATTACTTCCCGGCCAACACTGTCTGGTGAAGTCTTTTACGAAGTGGATGAATTTGAGGTAGAGGTTTGACTAACATTCCATGCTTTGCTCGATGACGATGCGTAAAGTTGCAATTCGATCACAGCGTATGATTTGCCTTTCCTGAATCCAGCCAGCTTGTTCCAGGCTGGCGGAGTTCTGCATCCGGTGCATCTTTTATTCTCTCCAGGATGACACGACTTAGTATTTTACTTGGCGTGAACAAGAGCATGATTCCGCGCCAGTTCCTGCAGAGTGAGGCGTAAGTCGCTCTTCTTTGGTAGTTTGACACTGTAGACAGCCTTTCATTCAGTCGGTAGGCACCTTCCGTCCCCTCCAAAAGTTTTGTAGTAGTTACGTCAGCATATGCGCTGCAGTCTCTGGGTCCGTTTTCAATGCTTTGGGGCGAGAGAATTCCATCTGGTTCTGCTAACTTTCTGGCTGAATATCAGTAGCTTGATCGCATCCAGATTTTTGCTTTTGTTGAATGATTTGTGTCCACTGGCAGTTCTGTACATTCAGTTGGTTATATTTCTGGGCGAGTCGCCGGCGATGGTCGATTCAAGAGTCCTTTGAAGTGATCAGCTCATTGTTTTATTTGTCTCTCCTTGATAATCAGCTTCTCTTGAACGTAATTTATTGGTTTCGTCATCTCTGTTGATTTCTTCCTGGATAAAGACTTGGTTGTTTCGTATAGTGTCTTGAGGTATCTCTTACCTGCGGCCTGCTTGTTCTGCTTCAGTTGCCAGCCAGTGTGTTGTAGAATTGTCTTTTGTCTTTCCTATCACTCTTCTTCACCTGTTTATTTGGTGCAGTGTATATTGAACTCAGCTTCTCCTTCTGTTACCCATCTTTGCATTGGGTCATCTCTTTCACCATCCTCCTCCCTTCGATTAGTTTCCAGGTAGGTATCCGTTGGGAGCCATTCATCAACTTGCCTACTCTTCCATTCTGAAAACAGTTGTGCACGTTTCCTTGAACATCACCTTCAGAGAGTTCTAATGTTCTTCCACACAGGTTTCCTCAGTGATAACACGTAGTGTCTCCGACTTCGCTCTGATATCTGTAGCGAAGGGATCCCTCTTAGTTTCTAAATGTTGAACTTGAATTGTGGCCTGTCTCTAGTTTTCATGGATTTCAGTTTCACCTTGAAGGCTCCTAGTACTAGGTGATGATCTGAGCACACATCTGCTCCCCTCCTCGACTTTGTATCCAACAGACTGCGTCTCCACTTCCTTGAGATTGAGTTGAAATCCATTTAGGTTGTGGTGTGTCCGTCAGGCGAAGTCAATGTTGCTTTGTGTATATGCTTGTGTTTGTACACTATACCTCCGATTGCCAGGTCATTGAAAGCGCAGAAGGCTGCGAATAATTCTCTTTTCTTATTAATTTCTCCGAGCGCTAGTCTCTCGACTCATGATGAGTTCTCTTCCAGTATTATTTGCTCCCAATTTGGCGTTGATACCGCCCATAAGGATTCTGATTTCACCGTTTGGGATGCTGTCCATTACTGTTTGTAGTTGTTTATAAAACTCTTCCTCCCCTTGTTCTGCGTTGTTTGTAGCATTGTGCGTTGCATTGGATAATTGTTACCTTCCTTCGTTTTGAGTTGAATCTTGCTGTCATAATCCTGCATGCGGAGATTGGTTCCCACTGCATTAGGGCTTCGGCTGCCACTGGTGACATCATGATAACCAATGCCTCTGTCTGTTTTCGGCATAGAACTTTGCACAAATGTGCGGAAGTTCAAGTCGCCACACTCCGTGTAGCACGCGAAGCAAGCAAGAGAAGAAAGTACAAGAAAAGCATAATAGAAACAGTGAGCAGAGGTGTGGGACAAAGGAGTAATAAAGAAAAACAAAACAGTTCCATTGGAGATCATAAGTCACAAGGAGTGGATGCATCTGCGCCACTGAGAACGATTTTGAGCCATGTCACCAATTGTTTCCAACCATAGAGTTTTACCGATGCCTCGGCGTGCTGGCGGTTGTCGTCTGGGTGACCGGAGTAGATTACTGACTATCCAGTTGACAATTTCGACGACCCACATCCATCCCATTTGCTCTCGCAGACACCCGGCACTTCTATGCCATATTTTAGCATTTCGTTGGCTACCTGGGTATCCTTCCCAGCTAGCCTCGTACATTGTACGGACATTCCACGTCCCGATTCTTATTCTTGCTTTCATCGAGAGGAGATACATCGGCTGGCGGACTGGCTTCCTGAAGGTGGGCTTTCATTAACCCGTGTCATTTCGCTCCTCCGATTCGAGCGAAGAATAAGGTTGTTATTTGAATTTTTTGTATTTTTAATATATTTTCTGTGCGTTGAAGTTTCTCTAACAATTTGATAGGTTTGGTGGTGTAGGGTTGCTAGCCCCAAGTATAACCCTCCTTCTTTACCCGGGCTTGGGATCGGCTAGAAAACTAGCAGGCTGGTTAACTAGGCGAGGTTGAGTGAGTGTATAAGTGTATTTAGGAATTCGACGCAGTCACTCGTAAAGAAGTCAGTTAGTTTAATCTGGTACACAGATCTGAGTGTTTATACGTCGTATTAATAGTAGTTTTGTTAACTTTTAAATAAACTGTTGTTACTTTGTAATGCTGTTTTTCTCTTACACAGCCTGTTACGGACTAATACTCCAGGATCTACCGCGTCTATATGAAGCCAGATGGCACTTGTCTTATTTTCAAACATTTTCCATCTGAAATCACCTCGGAAGAATGTGTTGATTTCTTAAAATCACTGGGAGCTACAACAGCTCAATATTTAGGACATTCTGGTCCTCTAAAATATGTAATATTTCCTCTTTACTTGTTTCATTCTAATTCAGCTTTAGTGTGCCTTCGCGGAATTCACATCCGAACAACATGCGTGGAATATTATCAAAAATCTACATCAGAAGAAAATATTGGACAGACGTCTTTCAGTTGAATTCACTCAATCTGTAGAATGGTGAGAATGACTTTGTTCAACTCATTTGTCCTTATTTCACATAGGCATAGGACAGGTGACTCAAATAAGTCGTCCGAAAAAGAATGTCCTACTACTACTACTACTACTATGAGTGCTTTCTCTCCTATGTGGGATCCATCCTACAGTGGACCCTCGCAGCTGTATTATGACTACCCTTCTGTATCGCACAATGTGTTAACAAACATAGTGCGATCGTTGGCCTCCTGTCCAGCATTTTATAATCAGGTAAGTTCATTCATTTGCTTTTTATATGTCAAAAGTTTTGAAATAAGTGAAACCAATTTTTAAATTGCAGAGTACAAATGTCAGTTTAACGAATTGTATACTTAAGGATTTTTGGAAGCAATCGAATAATCTGTTATTAATTGACTTAATAAGTAATCGGTGTGACAGCAGATAGATTCAAAGAATATTTGAGAGAAGTTGGAAAGACGTGGCTCCGTATCGACTGCTGTGATGAGGTTATCTCCATTGTTGATTAGGATTTTAAATATTGTATTAATTGTTTTAGACAGTCAACAAAAGTTCTGGATCGCTGTTTCTTGATTGTTAACATTTAACAGTAAATCCAGTTTTCGTAAATCGAGAACAATGAACTTTGTGTGGTGGATTTAGATCATTTCGCTTTGTGTCTTCTGAATCTCCCATTTATGTCTGTATCTGTAGCACTCGACAGCTACTTTCATTTACATGCAGTTGACAGTTAGACACACACCTACTGTGTGGGAGCTGATGGTTTCCCAAACCTCGGTAGGTGGGGTGTGTCTCTGAAAGTCCTATTTTTCAATTTAATTATTATTTTGCAGTTTCTTGGTCGATTTTATAGTATGATTTGCCTTGAACATATTTACAGTATTAATGGATGGAGTCATGAACTTCGTCACTTTTCCTCCCATATACATTGATGCATAGTTATGAAAAGACTACCATTGAGCTATAAACTATTTTCATTTGGAGATGACGTCGTAAACCAGTTAAATTTACACAGATCTTGAAATCAGTGTGTATTTGGCGGAAACAGAGCACAGTACATCTTAATGCATTTATTTTTCATGCTATATAAATTTAAAAAGCGAGTTAATTGTGTAAAGTGTGATTGTCGTCTACTCATTTCATCTGTCCCAATGTCTTCTTTATTTTTTTCTTCTGTGCTCTGTAAGGACTTTAATTGTTGTACTGTCGCAATTCTTCATATAGTGTTTTACTTGTTGCTGATTTATCCTTTACTTTTGAGCTCTCTACTGTGACAAAAGCTAGTGGAAAACGGAAATATCGAAAGTCATGAATTCTGATGCATTTTACGTAGGCAAACAGTATCTACGATAAATGTGCTTTATTTTCTTGTGAAAAACCTATACAAATTTTAGGTTTCCTTTTCATGGGAATACATTTTTTATCACAACAACATAATAATACTTCTCCATTGAATTCGGTTGAGGCATATAATACCACAAGTATCCATTTTGTAAACTGTAACTACTAAAATATTAAATATCTGTAGTAACTTTTGTTGAGAATGAGTATACATAAATTAAGAGCCTTTACATTAAAGAAATAATCATTAACTGGTTAAGCTTTCAGTTCTTGCCAACGCTAAATACTGTGTATACTTGTATCTCAGCAGTTTCATTTGTTTGTATACCACTTCATCTGTATTTCGCTAAGTCTAACTTGATCTATGCTGTTAGTGAGCATATCACTTAAAATATTGGAACCTGGATCATATTTCATATCATGTAGTTTGGTGATGGTTCGCGGTGGTGGTGGTGATGGAGGTTACAACTTGTGGTGTTTACTTCTTCGACATTTGGGATGCTGTAGTTTAAAATAATTTTTATGTTATTGTTTCCTCATTCGTTTTATTTCTTGAAACCGTTTCAACTTCGACCACTGAAATAAATTGATAACGTTTTATAATACGAATTCGTTTTAGTTGTTTTATCAAAGTTTCAACAGGTGTCAATAAAGTTAAATTAATGTTTACACTTCATTTAGGTACTCCATATAATGAACAAGCTTCATCTACCGCCACCTTTTGATGATCCGGAACATTTTCCTGGGGATTATCTGGTCATTTCAGCGACAGAGTACGCGAAAATGCAAGCAATGATAGATAACTTTAAAAATGTTCCAAGAAAAGATCACAATGACATAGATTCGAATGCAGAAGAGATGGATTTATCTAGTGGGCCAGAGTCCGAACTTACTTCTGGTAAAATCTTTTTCATTTTAAATATTTACAGATGATGAGATTAAAACAAATTCACAGCAACAAAATATTCCAGTCAGAAAACGTCTGAGAGTGCACAAAAAACTGTCATCTGCATCCTCTGCCCGTTATCCTGTAACTTCAAAGCGTCAAAATGTTAGTGTCAGTGATTTGTTTGAAGCAACTACAGTCTCTAAGAAGTTGCATCTGCCAGAAGTTCTTAATGTTAATACCCAATCAGATCATGTTGTATCGCATAGTGATGTCGAAGGGGGTTTCGGACTTATTCAGTCAGAACCTATAATAGAGGAGAAGTACTTCGTTGACGAGGTGCCTAATGTTTCACAAGGGAATCAGGAAAACTACTCCTTCTCTGTAGACTTCAAGTTGCGTAAAGGTAATCCAGCGTTTTTAAATTTCAAGTAAATGTATTAATCAACAACTTTTAGAGTATTTACGTGACATTTAAATTTGGTCTTGGATGTTTCATCATCGAGCTCGGTGATATCTTCAGTGCTGGGTTTCGAATTTATGTCACCTATTATCGAAATTAGCTGTTTGAACACTAAGTAAATTACACCACAACTAACTCATGTAGGTAAGGAATGTAGCTGTCTAGCTTTAGTCTTTGATAGTTAGTTTTCAACCAGCGTGTTGATTTGCTAAGCTAAAATGTAGAACTGTAGCATTTGCAGTTGTCGCTGAACGTGTTGTCTAAGGGGACAATAAAGGCTTCTTAGATCAAAAATCGAGCTCATAATACATAATAAAAAAGCAAATATAGTGTAATTTCGCAACTGCGTGTACTTCCTTGCACTTGGCAATGATCTACACCAATTGTGTAAAGACTGATACTACGAGTGACCCACTGGTTGAAACTCGGGTTCATGGACGTATGAGGCACTGCGTAGAACTTTCCACAGATATGCATTTGTTCAAGTTACCACACTTCACCAGAACACACAAAAAAGAAGAGAACAGAGATGACAAATAGTAAATATAGCCTTAACACAGTGAACAATCCTTAGTATGTCAGTAGGAGCCTCAAGTTATTGATTTTTAGTGCCCCAGATGTTAGTCAAGAGTTACTTATATCGTCACGTTGCAGGTTAATACAGGTTTAGCACACTATCATAGCATTTGTCTAACTAGATACGGTATTTTGTTTGACTAAACGGGATTCATTTTTCGACAAACCTTGTTTTACATATATGTGAAGGATTTATATATGACTTGTGATTTCTGTTTTGTAGATCGACTGTCTGATGATGAAGAAAGCGTAGATTTAGAAAATCGGATACCCCTCCCAGATCAGCCATCTACAAGAAGTCACGATGTGTCAGCATTAATAGAAAATAGTTGTCCTAACTTAATTTCTGTACTTTCTGTTAATGAAGTTTTATCCAATTGCTTGAAGGCTGAGGATTATAAAAACTATAATGTGTTCGCTAAATATGATGCTGGAACTCCTACTTCCCGTTTATATATAAAGAATCTGTCACAAGCAGTAACAGAGACTGATTTATTCAAAATATTCGGTGTATTTTCAAATGGCCCTGTAAGTGATAATGATTGGAAACCAAGCATTTCAGTGGATTCAACTGAGTGCTTTTCAGTCAGACTTTTGACGGAGGGTCGAATGAAAGGTAACCGCGCATTCAACTTATCCTTTGCTTTTTTTTTAAACGCATTACATTTTTACTTGAGTTATGATATGTCATTCTTTACGGCAGTTAGCTAAATTATTATTCGATAATTTAGGCGCTCAATTTATTCAAGAACACAAAACTAGTGTGGGGATGAACTTCATTTGACTCTTATTTAGTGGATCACGAGCTCAAACCCTGCTCTACCTAGAGAACTGAGTAGTATTGTAACAGCAGAAGAAAACGGCCAGGAAACAGATCGTTTATTAAGGAAATCAACAGATATTTATAGATTTTCATATATATTATTATAGACTATTGTAAGCAAACAAACAGTCTTCTGAATGGTTGTTTCTCACAGAAAGTTAACCTTGCATCTCTTTGTGGCTGTTTCTTGAATGACAGATAATCTATATGCTAACTGTACCCGCCTACGCAAAACTTTGTTCTTATTTTTCTCACGGACATAAACACTGACGTAAATTAATGTCTACCAATTTGGCTAGCAGCCAGCTCTCTCACCACAGCACCACACATCAAATTTTACTAGTAGTCTAATACATAAAGACAATCGGGTAACTAGCCTTGTCATAAGTAATGGAAAAACATACTAAACTCAGGAAAACAGTTCCTGATGTTGGATGCTTAATTAAAAGCCTTGCGTGTAAGGTTTTCTGAATGAAAGGGAAGACAATTGCATTTTGACTAAAAAGAGCATAAACATTCATTGTTTCATCTTATTATTTACAAAATGTTACCCTTTTTTCAGGTCAAGCATTTATTGGTCTTGCATGTGAATCAACTGCGAAACAAGCTTTAGAAACTACAAATGGTTACATGTTGTATGGTCGTCCAATAGTTGTTCAGTTTGCTAGAGGAGCTAAGGCGAAAGTGGATGAAAAAAGTCTAATACTAACAAACCAATAGTTTTGGTTATAAAAAGAAGAAGAGATTATATACTTTGTGTTTAGTTGTTTTGTGAATATATCTCATGTACAAATTGTAAATAAATTTAGTATTTTTCTATTATGAAAACTGAATCTTTTAGTCCCTTAAACTGTTGTCAAGTGGAGTAGTTCTGATAAGTACTATTGATGACTTGTAGTCAGTGTCGTGAGCTCACTAGTCCTATGAAGTATAAGGTCTACTCAGCGTTTCGATTCGTAGTCATTTAGAATTGTTATATCCTTTAATTCCTAGAGGGATATAGGGCTTCAGCTGCCCATCTCCATTGCCTTCGGTTTTCTGCCAACTTTTTCACCTCGCTCCAAGTCTGCCCACATGCTTTCATCTCCTCTTCACATCACCTCCTCCAAGTCACCCTTGCACTGACGACCAACTCGCCGCTTCCCTTTCGGCCTGGTTCCACTCGAGCAATGGCTTGTCTAGTGATGTCACTTGATGGTTTGTTTTCTCAGAGTATGGCCAATCCATCTCCATTTCTTCCTGCCTATTTGTCATTTAGCAGTTTGTTATTTAGACATTAAGCACACGCGTTTATTATGACAATCAATGCAATTTTCAGCATGTCCAGTATCATCATAATTAAGTCATGAGTCAATACTTTGAAACAAATGAGAACATACTTTTTTCTTTACTAGTAGTAGTCAAATACATTAGATTATTAGAAAATATGAAAATAAAAATGAAAAGAAGCAAAATAACATTTTGTTCGAGATATGTAAAAGGAGATTATTTTCGCTTACAACACATTTAAAGTTGGAAGGAATTTTTAAATATGATATGAGCTTTAACTTGAAGGGATTTGTGACTGCTTGAAGAAAAGGCTTTGCACAATATTAGAGGTATTACAAAGATGTGTATCAGTCTTACTGCTGGATTGCGACTGACCTCGAACAATCTTACGATTCGCTTCAGCCAGCCTAAATAGTTCATGACTTCGTCGAACATGAGGTGGTTGAAATGAATCGGAGGCTAAACGACGTCGTCGTGATAGATTGATTACAGTTTGTCTAACAAAACTGCTAAGGCAACGCTGGCTTAATATTAAACCAGTCTGAAGTGGTCCAGCCTCAAATGTTCTACCCTGAAGGCGCATAATTCCAATTCTACACAAACCAGAACTTAAAGGATGAATATAAATTGTGACAGGACAGTCAAATTTTTGGCTGGTTACGTTCTGTATTTGCATACCAACTTCGTCCGGTCCACAGTGCATCGGTCCATCTTCCCAGCGTTCAAGCCATACAACTGCCACTCGACCTCCAGTAGGGTCAGCTCCAATCTCTCCTACACCTACGGCACCCTGATTTGTTCCACGAGTTATGTTGGCTATTGCAATAAGAAAGTAAGACACAATATATTTACTGACAACAGAACATTTTGGATAGCAAAAATTAAAATATCAGTGGACGGTTACGCCACTTAAAACTGAAGTATACTTGCTGTTGAACACTTGATCTAATCTTCAAACAATTTCTTTAAAAACTCTGGTTTTTAAACTCAAATAGTATATCTGTCAATTCAGACTATATTTTCGTAGCTCAGCTAACATTTTAAACTGACGATAAGTCCTCTTCTGATTAAAAAAATAACTTGCGGAAAATCTTGCCACTGATAGGGAAAAACGAGTATTTTAGTCCATTGAATTTTGAGTTAAAAAGTGAGGAGCCCTTGCGTCTAAATTTAAGGTAAGGGCAGTGTTTTAGTACTTACACTGGGTCATTATTACTCAAAAGTATTCGATGTGCATTTTATATCTTCGCATTGTAGTATGATGCTTCACATCTAAATCATGTTGCATTACGAGATCAAGGTGGTTAAATATGCTGAATAGCTGAAGAATTTCATTTGACCTAGTAGTTTCATTATTAATTTTATACTAATCCTAAAGCCAATAAACCGAAATTATCCTTAACCGAACGTGAGATAACGATGAGAAGTTGGGGGTAATAAATGTTCGACCTCACTCAACAATACTGATTACTTAACATTAGTGAACTGTAAGACAAGAAAGATAGGTCATCAGATTAGGTAGGTGACTACATTTCATGTACCCTTGTAAGTATCTTCTTTAAAATGATGAACTGTTACAGCGTTAGCTTATCAATCAAACCGACTAATATTTTGGTTTATTGTAAATAGTATAATTTCATTTTAATTATTAGATTTCGTCAAGAAACAACATCATTTAGAGAGATCATTGAAAACGAAGAAGCACTATATACTCGTTCCCTTCTGTTTTGTGACTCTATCGCTGCGCACCTACGACCCCACCAGGAAACGAACCCGGAAATTTCAGGTTACGAGACCAAGCTCGTTGACTATTCATTATGTGCGTGCACTGGTGAGGAGTCGTGAAATGGGACGAAACTACTATCCAGTGAGCTCCCTGATTTCCAATGATCTCTCTTTATTACTCCTTTGTCTCACACCTCTGCTCACTGTTTCTATTATGCTTTTCTTGTACTTTCTTCTCTTGCTTCGCGTGCTACACGGAATGTGGCGACTTGAACTTCCGCACATTTGTGCAAAGTTCTATGTCGAAAACAGACAGACAGACAGATCTCTCTAACTGATGATGGTTTGTGACGAAACCTAATAATCGGAATCAAATTAATCCGAATCCACACATATCCTATAATCATCTGTAATTCACTTGCTATGGGGTCTAATCAAATCTTGGCAGTTACATTTCATTGTTGAAACTTACATAGATTTTCACTAGCAGCACGAGAACGTGAAGTCTTTGAAAAGCGACGAAATTCATTTTTCTCTTCATCTTTATAAAATTTATCTGTTGGACAAATACAGGCTAACTCAGTCATTGCATCAGCATAATAGATAATCGATTGAATGCCATCAGGACATTGTTCGAAAAGACAATTTTTCGTTTGATTAGAATGATTCGGTACAGAATATTCATCTGATGTATGATAACTAGTTTGTAGATTTCCTGTCCAACCTGGATGGTTATGGATATCTTTGAAACGACCAATACCACTCAAAAATTGGTGAAACGCTTCAGGTAATCTAAGCCAAATTTTCTGTTGAACAAATGAAAAATAAACAATATACAACAGGAATTTAAAATTTATACACTCGGGAAGAAATCTGAACTCAGTGACTTACAGATTACAGAGTTAGTTTTTTGGATTAAAAAAATGGATTAAAAAATCCAAATGATTTTGAGCCTTGGGGTTTTCCTTTAAATTACCTAGTACTATACGTAATCGAAGCTCATATGTGTTTTTTGTGGAGTTGGTTTTCCAGCTAAACACGATCTTTTTATTCATAGGAATGTCAACAGACATTGTAAACTAATGTGTTTCAACTTTGGTGGTGGTCAGACTTCCTTGACCTACTTACTTTACGGTGTACTTGTCATAAATTGAAATAGAATCACATTTCAATGACAGTCATAACCTTAAATGGATGAATGTTTCTCATGTTTAAAGCCGTTTCGACATACGAAGAGCTTAGATTTTGGATTTACTGGAGTGTGTATTCACAACATACTAACTATTTCTCATTCGTCAACTTAATATTTTCCGAATTCCCAACATCTAGTAACAATGATTTTCTCTGCTTGGCTCTTACTTACCTACTGTGTACACATCAAAAAGGCAGTATTGTTCTGGAGAATCCAAGTCTTATGCATTTTGGTAATTAATTTGAAATACTACAGAAATTCAGTATTTCTTATAAGTTTGCGAAAAAATTTCTTTTAAGCAGGAGTTTGAACTGATTTATTATAGCACTTTTGAGAAGAAGACCTTTTAACCGAACAGTAAACTGTGTTCAGATTTGTCATAAAAAATACATGTAATGAAGCCATAAATATTGAACCTGTATTGACTTTTTGATGGATGCTTACCTAGTAGAAAGAATACATCGACTCTTCTTAGACTGAACTGTTAAGCTGATGGAAAACAGCTGTTTGTCTGTTACACGATGTGCAGAATTAAATCAAACATATGCCTACTAATTAGTGTAGTTGTAGCTTCTTAGTCTAGCAGGTGTATTACATAACAACTTCGGAATTTACTGCATATACTGAAGTTTGCACAGCTAGCTAATACTAGCAGTCTTCGTCTCGTGTTAGATGTAGCTTATTACTTTAGTGAGTCAGTGACACAGTGGTAGAACGCTCGCCAACCACGTCTCATGTGGTTAGGGGTTCAAGCCCCGGCTAGTGCACTCCTTTACCTCACTGAGCCAGTAATAAGACCGGTAGAGAAGGAAGGTTGGGTGTGAGGTTAGCAAACCCATCCCGTAAAAATAAATACCACTGCTACCGAAACTTCGAAGCTCTAGATTGAAACCCTATATTCTGTTCCACTGCGAACGTAAAGGAATGGAATGAAATAAAAAGTATTATTTACTGCAAGGTTATACTAGTGGTTTTAATGACTGCCTACCCCGGATACGACATCTACACTAGTTAATAGATATCCCTATTAGTGTTCGCATCGCAATCTAAGTGATGTCATCTCGTAAAATTATCAAGTAGAATCTGTCTGTCTGTTTTCGATAAAGAACTTTGCACAGATGTGCACCAGTTCAAGTCGCCACACTCCCTTCTTGTAACACACAAACCAACAGAAGAAAGTAGAAGAAATGCATATTAGAGACAGTAAACAGAGGTGTGAGACAAAGGAAGAGTAATAACGAAGAACAATATAGTTCCACTGGAAATCATAAGTCACAAGGAGTGGGTGGATCTGCGTTAGCCATTGAGAACGATTTTGAGCCATGTCACTAATAGTTTCCAACCGTTGATTTTTACCGTCCCGAGGAACCCAATCAGGAAGTCTACACCTTCCTACGTGACTGGCTTAAACTAACTGTTGTAGATTTCATTGTCTGGTGAGGCCGTGTTTCGGTTTGACCGCCGCCAGCTCTTTTCCAGCCTGACCACATATATCCGCTAACATTACCCATTGTCGAGGAAGGAGATGACTAGA